CGTTGAGTAAAGACAATCTTTTGCCCTCACTTTCTGCAGGGTCTCCAAGATTTGCCATGAACTGGTGAAACATCCAATGCAATTCCTGGCAACATCCAAGAAGTGCCAAATCCAGAGGTATATGGAGGTTTCCTAAAATAGGGCTACCCCTAATCATCCATTTTAATAGGATTTTCCCTTATAAACGGGTACCCCCAATTTAGGAACCCCCCATATGATCATATGGGTATGTGTCAATACCCATTATGGCACATTTTGAGGGAGATGAACATTCATTTACAAGCCATTTCGATGTTGACAAGGGGTGCAGGGTATTGACCCACATCTACTCGTAGATAATCTAGAATGAATTCCGAATCTTGGGTCGGTCAATTCCCATTGCAGGTTGGTGACATTCTGATGTTTCTGGCATTCAGAGCTTTTCACATTGAGAGATTTAGCCCGCAATGCTCTGCGGTGTTTCTGTGTTTCTTGAAGTTTCTTTCTTGAAAAATCCCCAACTGAATTGTTCAATTCACTCCACGTTTTTTTTTGCACATAGATGTTTACTGAATACTGTTCAAGTCCCCATTTTTGGTGACATCACGGTGACATGGGTGAATCCTCTCCCGTTTTTGAACGGATTCAATAGTGATGGATGTTTTGCATGGTTGAGTCCCCAGTTTCGCTGGTAATAATTATACATGTATATGTAATTATATGTATACATACGCATAGTATCCGCACACACACACAACATATTCTACATAGTTTGTTGCTAAAATTCCCAGATTTTTTGCATGGTCCCATCCCCATTCTCCAGATCTATATTGCCATCCCTATCCATATCTATATCTAGTATCCAATATCTATTTCTAATATCTAATATACATACATATATGTATATATATATATTATATTATCCAACATCTCTATCTATATCCATGTTCATATCTTTATCTACATCCATACTTGCATCGATATCTATATCTAATATCTAATATCTAATATCAATATCAATAGCTAATATGTATATACCTAAATAATATATATATATATATCCATATCTATATATTTGCATCTATGTCTACTGTATATCTATATGTATATCTAATAGATGAATATACACATATATACATTCATATCCATATCCACACCTGTATCTAAATCCATATTCATATCTATATCTATATCTAAATCAATATCTATTTCAATATCCATATCCATACCCATATCTTGTCAATATTTGTATATATATATATTTATATATCTATATCTATATTTCCATATCCATATCTATTTCCATTTCCATATTCATATCCATATCCAGACCTACCAGGTACATCAAAAAGCGGCGCCGGCGCCGCAAATTGCATGTAGGACAGCAGTTTCTTGGAATAACAGGCCGGTTTCGTCCGGACTGCCTGCAAGAAAAACGCCATCCTAAGACCCGACATCCCTTGCCCGCGCCTACTATGACAATCTCATGGAAGCCAGATGTCCTTGCAAGAAGATCTTGCAAAGTTCCTTGTCCGGAGATCTCGTTTCTAGCATAGCTTTTTTTTTGGCAGAGGTCTTGTGAGGAAAGATTGACGATAGTTTGGTAGATGCTTGAAAGAGCTATGATTTCAGAAAGATCCCGCACCCCGAACCAGCATGGCATATTGTTTGCTCGCTGGCAGGCATCTTTGTTTGGTCGCTCGTGCTTAATTAATTAATCAAGACCTGTATTGGTGTAAAGGGTTCCTAGAGATGATTTTACCACAGTCCCAGCAGCCTAATGATGCGCAGGGAGAGCACATGTGCTCGCTGGCAGGCGTGTGCCAACCCCCGATCTGGACAGACAGTCAGACAGACAGACAGACATGCATGCATACATACATGCATTCATACATTCATGCACGCATGCATGCAATTTCATCTACGTTTGGAATATAAATTGCCTTGGCGCTGGCAGGGGGAATATCTTTATTGTCTGAAAGCGCCAACGGGCGGCCAATAAGGGCTCGGTGGTGCAAGGAACGGGTATAACAAGAGATAATATGCGTAATTGTAAACGAATATATCGATTTGTATTTAAGTACATGCACGTATACGTGGAGAGACACACCGCGAGAGAATGGTTTCTTCTTTGCATGTAATCGGAAATGCTTCTCACGATCCCGCGAGAGCACTCGATGATGGTTAGTTAGATGATTCAGGTTAGATTCTCTCAAGGACAGTTTTCGTGTCAATATGTTGTGTGCAGGAACTTCTTGTTTTTTTTGAGGCTGAAGTCAATCAACGAGCAGAGCGTGAATTTCCAAAGGCGCGTGCCGGATGAAACCGGGGTATGTGCCTTGATCGATTACGTAGCAACAGCTCAAGTCAGTGAACGTCGTGTAGACGTGTCTATGGAGGAGATTTAGAAATGTTTTACACATTCCTGTGGTTTGGGCCTCAAAAACAGGCATGTTTTTTAAATTGCTTGCTTTGACCTGAGCAAGATTTGTTTGCAAGACACACACACACACAGCCATGTGAAATTCGTATGGAACGCATCAAACTATTCGGCGCTGTCAACATGCTTGCTGCTGGACCTTCGTGGCCTCACCCCTGTATTCGACCCTGTGCAACTGGAAGTTGCCGAAAAAGAAATGGCACATGTTGGTGCCATAGGCTTTCTCAGGATTCCGTTCAGAGTGCGATGCGCGCAGTTATGTTTATACATACAACGGGCAGGTAGAATTATTCTTCTTGTTTAAGCATGCGGAACAAGTTCCTGGAAGAGGCAGACTTCCTCGCACCTTCTGGCAGGCAGCATCCCCGCTCTGACTTGTTGAGTGTTGCTGCTTGACTAGCGATGGCCGGATTCTGCTTGGACAATCCTCGGTTGTAGAAGGGATGTTAGGCCGTTGGAGCCGCAAAACCTATCGTATTATATAGATTGTTTGTTTACCAAACACGGCTTAGATTTGCAGGCCGCCGGCGAAGAGCTGAACAGCTACTTCGCCTTCGAGTGGTGCTGGCTGCAGATGGGGTGTGACGGAGAACCTCCGCCTGTCCTGTGAGGCGGGAAAGGGGGACGGTTTTCTTTATCCCGGTGGCAAAGCAATGGCTGCTGTCCGGTGAAACGATGCAATATTGAACAGCACCAGCCAGTGGATTGAAACAGAGACGCCCAAAGAAGAAAAGGAAGAAGAAGAAGAAGAAGAAGAAGAAGGGAGAAGAAGACGAAGAAAAAAGGCGACGAAGAGGAGGAGGAAGAAGAGGAAGAAGAAGATGAAGCAGCAGAAGAAGAAGACGAAGAGGAGGAGGAGGAAGAAGCGGAAGAATAAGAAGAAGAAGAAGAAGATAAAGAAGAAGAAGACGAAGAAGAAGAAGAAGAAGAAAAAGAATAAGGAGAAGAATTGGTTGAAGAAGTGATTGAAGAAGTGGACTAGGTGAGGTCCTCTCTTTGGTCAAGTTCTGATGGGGCCCGGCCAGTCCTCCGGGAATTGATTCCGAAACGCGGCAGCATATCCAAGGGGAGAAGAAAGACCAAGAAAGAAAGAGATAGGGACACAAGACACAGAAACGAAAAAAAAAAGGCAAGCAGCTGACCAGCCGCTGGTTGCCATGTGACACGAAGTGGCCCTCGGCAAGACGGGCGGGAGGTATCTATATCTATGTGTGTGTATATATATATACCTGTCTGTCTGTCTGCCTGCCTGCCTGTCTGTCTATCTATCTACCTATCTATCTACTCTATCTGTCTATCTATCTATTTACATATTTCTGAAATTAGCATCAATTTCTCAAATTTAAACCAATATCTATGTTTATATCCATATCTATTTCCATCCCCATACCTACCCTCATATGCAAATCTATTTCTACATCCATATCTGGATCCATATCTCACTCTCATACCAATATCAAAAATAAGTATCACTATCAATATCTATATCTATATCTAATACCTACATATCTGCATCTACATCCACTTTCACATCTTTATCTCACACCTAAATCTCCATCTATAGCCACATCCGTATAGCTATAACCATATCCATATCGAATATCCATATTTATATCTAAATTCGATATCTACATCCATATCCCTACCTACCCCAAATCCATACTCATATGTAAACCTAAACCCGCATCCGTATCCAACATCTAATATCTACATAGATCCGCATCCATATCTACATCTCACCAATGTTCATTTCTACATCCATTTCTGTATCGAAATCCACACCTAGATCCGTTTCCATGTCCCCATTTATATCGATATCGACTTCCATATTCAAACCAATATCCAAACTCATGTCCATATCTAATATCTGAACCCATAACCATACCCATACCTATATCCATACTTTTGCCATATCCATATCTGTCGCTAATGTTGAATATTTGTACTGATATTTGTTTTCATATCTAAATCTTTTATCTATTTCAATATCCAAATCTAATATCATTGTCGAAAATCGACATCCAATATCCATTACCAAACCTATATCCACATTAGTATCTATATCTATATCCATGTCTATATCCGTATCTACATCCATGTCTAAATCCATATCAATGCCTACATCCATTTCAATATCTCACAATATCCAGTATCTACATCGATATCCAATATCTAATATCTAAATCTCATCAGTATTTATTTCCAAACCCATATACCATTTTTATATCTATATATGTAAATCTTTCATAGACACACACACAGATATATATATATATGCGTATACATGCACATATATATATATTCATTTATTCATTTATTTATTTATTCATTTCTTTATTTTTTCGATAACCATTACTATCCCAGTTTTCCACTTCTGGGATCCAAGGCCCTGCGTTCGAAACACTCGGAGCTGGTGACGCTGCTCCGCTGCTCCGGCGCCGATGCGATGCCGCTGCGCAGGGATGGGGAAAGCACCAGCTGCGTGGAGACACCCGGCGAAGGATGTGGGGATTCACCTTATTTGGGGTGTGGTGAACCATGGTTATTTAGCGGAAGTTAAAGCAGCAACACTGGTGAATAATGGTGAATTAACGGCCTTTTCATGCAGTTTCAAGTACATCTGGGGTTTAATGGGACAAAAATGGGTTACCGTAAGGTAAACGAACATAGATCTGGAAAATCCATGGTTTCCCAAGGAAACACATCAAGAACAATGGTGGGTTTTCCACATCTACAGTATATTAGTTTAACCTAAGGTAACCATGAACATTGTGTTTTATGGGAATTAAAAATGTCAAATGGTGCAAACGGGTGATTTAACCATAAAATGGGTTTAATTAAAATATCACTTGGCTATAGTATTGGATATGGAAACAAATTTGCCTTGATGAATATAATGGTTTTAGGATGTGACGCAATTGAGATGTAATGAAATGTGTAATCAACATTATATCTCGTTCTCCCAAAACATTACACGATTTTCCTACGAACCCAAATCAAAACACAAACGGGTTCCAAGACGGGATATCATTGGGATATCATATGGGATATGCTGAGGTATGCAATCATCAATATGATGTATGGGCCTGCTTGAAAAATTGGGGTATTTTCCGCAAATGGTAACTTTATCAAGGAATATCGTGATTAACCAGTGGATTTAGGGGTACCCCAGTTTCAGACAAACCCAAGCAACACGACACAAGGGGGTTCCAAGCTATTCCCAGGAGGGAACGTGGCAGTTTAACATAATGTAAGCAGCAGCAACACATGCGAAGATGAGAGTTTAACCAGCAAACAGATTAATTTGACGTCAGTATGCCATATCAACATGGGAGTTTAACCTGCAAACATGGGGGTCTGACCAGCAAAATTTGTTTTCGATCAGCCAAAATGGAGGTTCAATCAAAAGATATGGCGATACGAGATTTATTCGATAATGATTCTGATTACTTGAATTCTGAACTTCATGATTATGGTAAATTAGGTGGTTGGGTGGAGAACTGTTTTATGAATTCTGCAAGTGGGCTGGTTGGGCTGGTTCAAGCGATGAACAACTATGGTTAGTTGGTGTGCTTTCTGTTCGTGCAAAACCCGCATTCTTGAGCCCTGAAATCTGGGGGCTCGATCGCCCCATGCATCGGGGTTACTCATTTGAGGGCTTTCTGTGCATTACATTGGTTAAGGGCAATGCAAAGTAGGGAGTAAGCGGAGAGATTTCGTGGAAGCATAGCAAAGTGACAAACTGTCCGCCGCAAGCTGACGCGAGATGTGAAGCCGCCTTGCATGGCTTTCAAGACACTTGCATGACTCGAGGAATCGGCACTTGTGCAGTTGGAGTGCCGTTGAATCCAACCATTCCAGTGCGAATAGATCCTGCGGCAAGTGATATGTCTGTGTTGGAGTTGGCTCCGAGGGTTCGTTGGTATATATCTACCTACCTATCTACCTATCTACCTATCTACCTATCTACCTATCTACCTATCTACCTAACTACCTATCTACCTATCTACCTAACTACCTATCTACCTAACTACCTATCTACCTATCTACCTAACTACCTATCTACCTAACTACCTATCTACCTATCTATCTATGTATCCATCTATCCATCTATCCATCTATCTACCTATCTATCTATCTATCTATCCATCCATCTATCTATCTATCTATCTATCTATCTCTTATCTTGCTAGTTAGCTACCTATTGATCGATCGGTCTATCGATGGATAGATCTGTCCGTCTGTTCGCTAGTCTGTCCATCTACCTATCTATTTATGTATATTATCCATCCATCCACTTATCCATCCATCTATCTATACACATATTCATAATATGGATACCCCAACTTGTTTGCTGAAATCCAGATCTTTTTTGGTCAGATCCCCGCTGCAGTTGGAGTTCATCCGGCATATTTCCTTTTGGTCCCTAAACATCCGTTCGGACGGTCTTGCTGGTGATTTCATCCTTCCCCATGAGCCCAACATTAAAAACACCAATTTGCCAATTTGTTTCAAAGGTCAATCTCAAAAGATGTCCAAATGGTAAGCATGAGATATAGTTTATCGACATTTATAGGTTTGCCACAGTCCATGACTGGGATTGCAGAAACAAAATAACCGCTGTTTTTCCATAGGTTTTTTCTTTTGTTCACAAATGGGATTGCAGATTTCTTGCTTGTGTGCAATCCGTTTGCCCAATGAATGATCCCAGTCATGAACGACCATGACTTCGTATTGAAACCTATTGTGACGACTGGGGATCCCCATGACTCAGCAGAACCCCCCGTATGTTTTCCCAGCAGAATCCATCCTTTGGATCAGGCTCTGTGGAGATGATGAGACTTTGATCCAAGCCCTACAGGAGGGGTACCCCAAGTCATCCAAATCATGGAAAACTAAACCTATGGTGACGATTTGGGGGATCCATATAGCACCTACTTTATTTTGAGAAAACTCCATATGAAATTTTTAGTAGGAACGTACCTACTACTCCATGAAAACACCGGAAATTCTCATGAAATTGCCAGAAATATGAGATGTAAGAACATCCCACTCAAATGAGCTGTTTTTTCGAGCGGGGTTTAAGGGTCCCCGAAATGCCCAAGTCTACCATTGAGAATCATCCCTACAGTAGCAACTTAGGTACAGATTTTGAGCATCTTGAGCCATTCCCAAAACACATAGGTGATTTCTAACGGAGTCATTGGTGCACCTCACCAGAACTCGCGCCACAAAAATCAAGCACACATAACGCATGGGGATCATGGGGATCATGGGGATCATGGGGATCATGGGGATCATGGGGATCATGGGGCAATTTGGCAATTATTTCCAAGATTTTCCAAACATGGTCTTATGATTCAGACATTTCCATGACATTTCCATGACATTTCCATGACATTTCCTTCGTTTATCTCTCAGTTTCGCTGGAAAATTCCCGCCCTGATGGTGAAATCGCCCCGTTGTGCCTGCTTCCCAGGCGGAGTGGAGCCCGGAGAAGCACCAGCTCTTCCCGGCCGAGGCAATGGATTCAATGGATATCAATGGATCATGTCATGGAGTTATGGAGCTGTGAGGATTTTTCATATGATTTCATATACCCTCTGGTTATTTAACATAGCCATGGAAGCCATGGCCCATAGAAATAGATGGTTTACCTATTAATAGCATGGTGATTTTCCATGGCTATGTTAGTCATAACCAGAGGGTATGATTTCATATATGACATATATGGGTTTGTCTGAAAATGTTGTGTACCCCAAAAAACCCAATGGTTTTGATGATGGTTTTGCTGATCATTATCCCTACTTTTTATGGATTTTTTTTTGGGGTATACCCCATTTTCAGACATACCCATATGATTTAATAATCAAATTCCTTCCAAATCATCTTCAAATGCACATTTTGAGAGTTCCAGAAAGAAGATCTCAACAGGTTTGTTGACGAAATCATCAGTGGGGTCTGTCAGATAATCCAATTCCCTTGATATTACATACTCCCCATATGGACCCCCAAGTCATGAAGAGACCCAGCACCAAATCTGTGTTTCGTTTGGAGGATACTTAATTTTAGGGGATGGGATTAGTTATTGGGATCTTTTCATCATCGCGGGATCATGCTTTGTCTCTAAGACTCTAAACAATCATTTGAATAATTGGTACAAGGGGGAGAGCTTTTGCATGGTTGACATCTTGCAGGCATATCAAGATATGAACCATTTGATTTCACTATCATTCAACTACTGGGAGTATTGAGCAATTCAAGTTGTGTTGGGAGTTTCCCTTCAACTTGAGCTGGGTCGAAACCCTGTGAAGAAGTGCCAAAAGAGGCTTCAATGAGTACATCATATCTTGACCCACGCAGGTCCGGGAGAGTGTAAAAACCGCGCTGCTGATTGCCCAAAGGCAGTCGCTAGGCAAAAATCGCAGCTGGTGAATGGCCCATTGATGTGGGATGTATATGGTAGTTTATTGGCACCATTGATTTGGGGTTTAGTAACATTTATTAATTTGTTACAGTATTTAAATTAATACCATTCGCTTAGCGGCTTAGCACCATTTATTTGGGTTTACTGGCGATAGCCGTGCCTCAGACCCCAACCACAGGAGCAGCTATCTCACCTTTGGCAGCACGGTCCTGGGGATAGCTGGGACTCAGTCATATTCTGTGGTGAACATAGCCATAGTTTACCAAGTTGTACATTGCATAACCCCCGATACATGGCTTATCCACCACTCTCTGAGTGTGTCTCATGACTTGCACGGTGCGAAGCTTGGTCACATGTAAATTCTGGCCTTTTCGTCAACGAAAAGTCTCCATAAAAAGCCTCAGATTTGCTTGATTGTACTCTAGGAAACTGTCTGGACATCTGCTAAAGATTGCTAAAGTGTCCCTTTGGAATGTGCTACATTTCGTCGAACCGGCTCCAAGTTTTTCAAATGTGTGGTTCTCAAAATCGTACTCCAAACCCATGGCTTTACCCATTGAACCATGACCAATCTTGGATGATTTTGTGGGGGTCCCTCATGTTAAGAATTCCGGCAAGCTATCACCCCGTGTTTTTGGGGCCACCGAGGAAATGGCCGGTCCCCGAAACGGTCCTCTTCAAAGTCTGCGCCATGTTCGCGGCTCCGGAAGGGTCCGGATGACCAGCTCAAGGTATGCCCAAGAAGCTGCATGTACAGTTTGCAGCTGGGGCCAGGTGGCTGAAGCTAAAAAGTTAGAGCTCTTTGGAGTCACGGATTGCAGTGGGACCAGAAATGGGGGTACTGAGCTTGGTCACGGATGTTGCCTGTGGCATCCACTGAAATGAAACGACACTCTCGGAAGGGGGGACTGGCACCATGCTTACTATACACTTAGCAATAGATTGGCCACCTAGACTTGGAGCAGTGAAGGGCTGCCAGTGATTGGAGGTCTTTGATCATTCTTAGCATCTGGAGATTTGGTGGGTCAATGCTCTCGATCCAAATCGTCCCAGAAGATCCAGTGGCAGCTTGGAACCATGACCAATGGCCGACTGTCCTGCTCCTTTGGCAATATGGATCAATATTGAATACCCGACGAAGGTGTACATGTCTCATATTTCGAAGATCTTTTTAGCTCCGAATGTTATTCCTGGATTCATGACCCCTGGTGAATTAATCCAAAAAAAACATAATTTTGCACTAATTGAATAGGCCCCCAATAAGATACCCCCCCACACAAAGAGCACAGGGTTTGCCAATCAGGGGTTGGCACTATCCATGTCCTGAAGCCAAACTCCTGCCACAGTGAGCGTTGGCTCAAACGAAAAAGCTGAGCGCGGCAGTCATGCCGGCGGTTGATGAGGAGCGTCCTCACTTGGTGGCCTCGGCGGCAGAAACAGATACGATGTGTTTGGGTTGAAGAAACAGCTATGGGATGCTATGGGATGCTATGGGATGCTATGGGATGCTATGGGATGCTATGGGGTAGTATGGGGGTGTCAAATGAGTCATTTTTTATTCGGGGTGTAAGATGAAGTCAAGATCATTCGCTAGGCCACGGTGACGTCATTTTGGACAGCGGCCTGGTGGGGTTTCATAGGCAGCGACAAGGTGAATGGCTGGCATCATCCGATATGACCATAATCTGAGGATCTACTGTCAACCAAGGAATCAGAACATGATAGAAGCGCAACAGGCATAGAACCTTTGCGAATAGGGAGCGGACCAAAGAACTATTGAACATACGTGCCAAATTTGTGGGTAGATGCGCAACCACATGCAATCGTAGAGATATAACCATGTGATTGGCTAATCAGTTTTGAACATAGTCCTATTCTCAGTTACTCAAATTCCCAATAATGCAGGTTAATAGTTGTTCTGGTGCTGTTTTGGTCTTTTGCTAGTTTCGCATCCTTAAATTTCACATATATCCGTTTCAAAGTTCCCCAAACGTGATATTGGATAAGTGAACAAGTTGGAGAATCAGTGACTTAGTTGGATAATAACTTACCTGGTTGGTGGTTTGGAACATTTTTTATTTTTCCGAGGGGTTGAAACCACCAACCAGTTGCGGTATCACATCGCATCCAGTGGCGCCGACAGGTGGACTGCCAAGATGGCAGCCCCAGCAGTCAGGCGGCACCGCGGAGCGCGCGCTGCGGTCGGCCCTGCGTGGTGGTGCCGTTGATGCTGTGCGCGGCCGCCCTGGGGTCCTTGGTGACCCTGCGTGGCTTGGCGGAACTGGAAGAGTGTTAGAAGATGTTGGAAGGGTTTCTATTTGTAGACATCTATTATATAATTATAATGTATTTGATTCAGTTTGATTCGATTTGTTGATTTGGAGAATTCAACAAGTAGGTAGACATGGAAAAATCGAACTGGGTTCCATCAGTTCGGGTGGAATTTTCAGCTCAAAGGTTAACTGGATCCCTTTTCACCTGGCGATCCCCCAGGCAGTCCAAAAGATCGCTATGGATACCCTAAAGCCCCGCTCCACACATTTCCCCAAGATACTAGCAGATGGTTATGGTTTCAACTCATCCCAACTGCATCAGCACTAACCCAACCTGCTTTCAGGTTTGCAAAAGGCTGGGGCAGTGCTGACCACAGTGCCCATGCGACTTGGAAAGACGTCGGAAGCTGTTAACCAACAATTCATCATTCACAACTATTGCTTAGCTATCTTCGCTGGCAAAGTGACCATTTCAGGTTACAAAGTGACCATTTCAGCAGGCTGTGATCCTAAACATCAAAACACATCAAAAAATGCCACGATCTCCGTCATCTCCGTCATCTCCGTCATCGCCAAGGAGTCCCTACCACGATCGCTTGCAGTCATCGGTTCGCTTCTTCCCCTCCAGGGCGAGCGAGGTTCTGGGAGAGCTGAGCGTGAAGGAAGTGCAGGACCTTTTTGGATACCGGAGGATACCGGAGGTCTGGTGGTGGTCATCCTTTCCGATTTTGTACTTGGTCAACTATGTCAACTAGTGTCTTTGGGATAGTTTTTTGTTGAAGATTCTGTTTTTGTTGGGTAAGTGTTGTCTCTTGATTGCAAGAATTCTCGCAGAGGGTTTGGTGAAATCATATTTTTTTCGGGACCCGCAGTGATGGCACCCGGATTCCCACAAGCGCTTTCCAGATACTTGCAACACAAAAGATGGGTCCTGGGAAATGTCACCAACTTCATCCCTGGATTCCTAGGCAAAGCCTTGGTGCATGGCAGGTACAAATCGTTTACTTTACAGTATTTTCATTTGGATGGATTGAGATGGATTAAGATCAATCAGATCCTGCACACTATTATCTATTCTTTGTGCATGTCATGTGAGGTAAATCCCAATTTTGTGTTTTTTTTCTCGCAGGTTTCTTGCAATACATCTCGAGACATATATCATATTCGCAAGATCTTTAAGGCATTGCAAGGCGCCCAGGGTCTGCCCAAAAGGCTGGTGGAAGTATTTCTTGTAGGCTTTTCAGCTTTTCTATAGTTTTAAATCCAACATTGTTGCTGGCGAAGCCCCTCATTCTGGGGGATTACCATATGTTACCATACTCATGGCTAAGTTTACAGGGATCACTCACCCTCCAAATCATTGGGCCGCAAGAGAAATCTTCGCTCTCCAAATGGGGCGCGACATTCTCATCCAAAATGGATGGTTCCAGATCCTAAAGACGACCAAAATGGTCCAAATCGCCAAATCAACAGAGACCCAAAACTGAAATCACCAAACCATGGGGTACCATTCTTATAGCACCACACTATCCCAGCCTCATGACTTCACCATCAACGCATACCAAAGTGTTGAAACCCAAATCTTCCAGAAGGGATGGTTCCCAAACCCCTTCAAATTGAATCGTTGTATCTCCAAATCAACCTTAATTTTTTCGTGGCTTGGATACATTTCCATTCATATCATTCATGCCATGTTTTCCTGGTCATCCTTTACCAATCCCTTCAGGAGATTTCTGCTTGGTTCATGCTGCAGACGGGTGCCGCACCCTGCCGCGCGTTTGAAAACGTCAGGACCTGGCTGGCTGGACCCTCGGCGGTGGAGTTGTTGAGGCCTCCCAAGGTGCAGCAAAACGTGGCGGAATGGGAAAATCAACCAGTTCTAGACAGTTTTCTGGGGAAACGGTGGGTTTTCTGTATCTATGTTCATTTTTTTGAATTGAATAAGCATGTTCACTATGTTCATTTAATTATTGACTAAGCATGAACAATGTGAACACTGTGGTTTTTTTTCGCCATGAAAGGCATGGGTTTACTTACAAGCAAGTTACCATATCAAGAAACGGATGACGATCAACCAATGGATTTAGGGGTACCCGATTGACAAGCACAAAGGGGTAAAGCTTGGATTAGCAGGAATGGGCTTCGGCTTAAGCATCAAACAGGGAAATTGTGTAGCTTCGAAAAAAGTTCAGTCAATTGTGGAAAACTTTCTATAGAAAAATGCATCGTTTCACCAGCAAAACCATGGATTTTTAAGAGCTTTTGACCAGGGATGTCTTTTTTTCCAGTCCGGAGGCAGAGACTCTGGCCTACTTGGACGGCAAGGGTGTGAAGCCTCCGCGTTTCGCGCGGGTGACCATGGTCACCAATAGCTCGGTGCTGGAGTTCAAGGCGGGATTTACTCATGGGGTGGCGCGGAAAATCGGGGATATATAATATATACATATATATAATTATATATACATTATATACTCCCAAAAAAAGTATGGTTCATCCGGTTCATCTTAAGCATAGATAAACATGATCAAACATGATCCAACATGTCTCAACATTCTTTTTTTTGGCAATCGCAGATGATCACAGATCATCACGGATGATCCCCCCAAAATGTCACACGCCATCAAACACAATCAAATATACTAACTCCCAAAACCAAAAAGATAAAACATCTTTTCCACAATGGGAAACAATGGATGATTTGCTCTCCATAATTACCGAGTTTTCATCTTTTCTATCCTTTTGGGGTTTGCGGTACTATTATCAAAACAAAAAAGTGCCACTGTCAAGTCACGTCGGATTGTCTGCTATCACCAATCCTTCATCCATTGATTTGGGAAGTTAAAAAAAAATGGTCGGACGACCATCTCTGTCATTCTGCTAAAATGGTTGTTTTCCTAGACCTGGATGAAGCTTTTTTAAAATTTTTGCATGAACGGCCTGGTTTTTATTCATGTTTTCATTCCATTTCTTTCCTGATATCATTGACATATATTTCCCAAAAAAACATTTCGAACTGGAGGGGCCGTAAGGGAACATCTACAGCCGAACAGCCCAATATTTTTGAGGGGCCTTTTTGGGTTTCCTCGGTTTCCTTGTGGATTTTCCCAGCCCATTGACGGTAGCCTGGCAGCCCCTGGCAGGTGGGTCCCGTGGAGGATCTGAGCAAGGCCAAGATCAGCGAGCTGGTGCCCAAGGGAGCGATTCCTTACTCCAAACGACCTGGCTTTGAGGAACTGGGGAAACCAACTGAGCTCATTTGTATATATATATAATATATATACACTATATATGATATATGTATGTATATATATATATATATGTATATGTATATATATAAATATATGTATATATATAATATACACTATATATGTATATATACACTATATATGTACACATATACTTATATCTACTAATGTATCTGTATACATATGCATAGTTATTATTTCTTTTCTGGCCATGGAGAGCCCAGCAGGAGACCTGGTTCGTCAAGCCCATCTACGATGCGGTGGTGACAGAGCTTGGGGCCTCTCTGTGGCTTGGCAGAGTCTGTAAGATTGGGCATGGTTGGATCTTGATAGTTTTTGGGGTTTTGAACAAGCTTGTGATGCACATGCATATATGTATATATATATACACATACATACACATATTTTATATCTATATCTATATAAGTAAGCAATCTTTCTCACCAACTGGCAAGTCCCTCTAAGAAGGGACTTGGTTCCTTTTTGCAGGCTTTTGTCCACCTTAATTGGTGTTTCGCCGTAGTTTTTTAGCAGTGGTTTGTTTTCAAACAGGGGATTACCACCTATGCTACTGAAAGTAGTGGGTTTTACAAGGGATCAGAAAATGACCAGGTGTTAGCAATTCTGATATTAATTCAATAATGAAGACAAACATACTCATGACATATTGACAAAGACAATGGTAAATCAACTAATAACTAATGATACTTATGACCAACAATAGCAAGAACAATGATCATGATACAGTAATGATCCTGACCATAGATGGACAACACAGAATAATGACAATGCTAATCCCATCCCCCGTGTTAAACACCCCCATTGTATGGTCCCAAATATGTGGTTTCATCCCCTACATCCACCATAGTGGGACGTTTATGGAGGGAGTGCTTCAGGTTGGTGAAAGCATTCGGCCCCATCTGGCCTCAGCTGGCAGGCAGGTCTTGATCCATTTTGGATCCATTTCAGGCATCCAGTTCTGGGGAAACCTTGGTCAGTTTTATGATTTGCAACTGACACAGTTTTTTTTTAAATATTTTAACCATCCAAAAAAAAACTGCAACAAATCCCATGGTTTTTTTTTGGGCATCTCCATTTGCCACGGGTTGCCCCACCAGGCTATGACCCCTCCCGCGGCACCGTGTCCTTCCTGCCCCGGAACGATCCGCTGGCGCCGCGCGGCACGCGGCGCATTCGCATCAAGAGCGTGGTGGTGCCGCCGGCGCCGTCGCGGCCCGATGCGCAGTGGCTGAATCCCCTGCCGTTGGACATGGAGGTTCCATGCTGAGAGGTAGGGGCTTGTACTAGTGGGATGATTGGGGATGATGGCATGGCATCCTATGGGGATACCCCCAAAAAACCGGTGTTTCATGGGATGGGATGTTTTTTTTTTTGATTTCCAAAGCATTCGGATGATGATCCAAATGGACTTCTTGGGAGGTGAGTCCAAGCGAAAAAATGTTGGTGAAAGGTTGGAATAAGATCCCATTGACTCATTTTAAACAGTTTTTTTTTTGTGTTTCAGAGTGGTGAAACATGGCAGAACATCTTAGTTCATAGGGAAAGTCAGCAAGTTGATGGTGGCACTTTCCAGATTTACCGATGGGTTGGGTGTCCCTATGTTTTGATATTGGACAGGCCCAGAACTTTATGACGTGTTTGGAAGTAAAAGGAACCAGGTGAAGATAAATGTATAGGACCTCCTAAACATACATTTGTGTGCGTGTGTATATATATAATATTATATAATATTATATAATAATAATAATAATAACAATGATAATAATTAATAATAATGATAATGAACATAAAAATAATGATATTATATATATACACGCATAGAACACAACTAATTCTGCTGTATTAGATCATCCAAAGAAGGTCATGAGGTAAAGATCATCCATAGCATCCTAGAAAACATGTTTCCATAGTTCACTGGGGCCTTTGAAGATGGAAAACATGTGGACCCATAGTTCACTACGTTGCGAACGTCCCAGGTGAATATCACCGCCTGGAACGTGTCGGAGTGGAGCATCAACCACATCACCTTCTGCAACCAGGGACCCTTTGATTCGCCCAAGACTTTGTTGCAGGCCTACTCCAAGGGCCAGCTGCAGATGTGCAACGCCACCTTCTCGGCAGGCCATTGGGATACTCCACAGAGGCTTGGATGTTGATGGCTGGGGAAGTTTTTTTTAGTGATGTGATTCTGCAGATTTCAGTGGAACGAAGTGAGTTCAGAGAAGCGAAGCAGCGTTCAGAGGTTTGGAGCAAGTTTGGAGTCTGCCAGAGTGTGACTATGGGGTTGTTGCCGTGCAATGCTGAACAACATGAACAACCGATCTCATTTTCCGATAATTACCAGCTCTATTGACAAGTCTAGTTATTAAGATCCTGCGGATTGCCCCACAGAGGGGTGGACACAGCGGAAGATCAGCTTCCAAAGTCATACTTTTGGTCTCACATTAGATGTAGAGTGTAGGGGTTTGATAGTTCGGAATCTTTTCTTTACAGGTGCTTTTTCGATCTGACCGCCACTGGTGGGTGTTTCATATCTCTGGGGGCACACCCACATACGAGCCTTAGTTCCTCTGCGAGCACGAAAACAGGACGTTGGGGATTCTGAGGTACCTCAATTGTGAACAACCAGCACTTCTTCAAAGTTTCTGTATCCAGAAGTGGGTATGTCTGAAAATGGGGTATATTCCCAATTATAGCCATTTCATAGGGATAATGATCAGCAAAACCATTGGGTTTTTTGGGGTACACTATTTTCAGACAAACCCAAGTAGTTCCCCCCCTCCCACGATTTTGATGAAACTGTGCGCCAAGGAGGGAATCTCCAAGGGGAACTCTGCGTGATCTCCCGCTTTGCTTGGTCAACTTTTTGGGAATCCCCAAGGGCCCAAAAGGGACGGAGACCGGATACCAGAAAATCCAGTTGAAAGCAGGCTGCCGGTCAGCTACTGATGGGGAGCTAACCTCCCAAAATGAAAGTCCCAAGCCCGCGCGGTTGAGGTAATGAGAGCCACCACAACGGCGTTTCCTGGGGTCCTTGGAGCTTTTCTGTGACCCAGAGGCCCTCCACAGGCACTTTGGTCAAATGGGTGGATTGCCGCCCCAAATTGCCAACAAATCTTGAGCTTTTGACCCTATTTTCGGCTATGGTTCAACTTGGTTTAGCCTTGCTTTGGTGGCTCATCCCATTTAAAAAAACACCACGGAATTTCAGGCGCTTGCACGATGGTCATTTGGCAAGAGATTTTCAGCTGTGGTCATTGCGTGCCCGATTCCCCGTCTAGATCCAAACAACATCAAAAACAAACAGGTTTTCCAATTTCCAATGCTTTCCACATTTTTCATCATTTTTCAACATGTTCATCTTTACCACGCTATGAATTTGAACGTGTCTCGACAACTCGACATGGCTTCCGTTCCGATCCCACCAGGCATTGCAGTGACGGACATCCGCTTCCGCGGGGAACGCATCGTTTACGAGCTGGCCCTGATGGATTCACAGGCGATCTACGGCGGCTCCTTGCGGGATCAGTTCATGTGCCTTGCAGAAATTGGCACTGTACTGCGCCGGAAAAATGGATCCACATGTGTATATGTATGTACGACTATGTACGTAACGTGTGTATTGTGTGTATATATATAATATTATATATATATATTATATATAATATATATAATATAATATATATATACACCTATACGCGTACTATTGTGCATAAATAACTGTATGTCTTAACGGTTAAATTATGTAAATATGTTTCTGTGCATGTGCGTGTAATGCAATGCGATGCGATGGGATGGGATGCGATGCCATGCATGTGTTTTTTTGATGAGAAAGTTCACCATGATTTGATTTGGCATTGAAAGAGAAGAATATGATGCAATATGGGTATGGATCAATACCTATTATATAATACCATTTTTAGGGGAATGAACATCCATTTACCAGCTATTTTGATGTTCACTAGGTACCAGGGTTTTGACACACTGACATATGAACATATATGAACTACTTTTTCTTTCGATGGTTCCTGCATATTCTATCGACATTGATCGTGTATATCGTATAGGAATTACAACCGGGGTATCCCCCAATCTGGCTTTTTCATGCTCCCCATGAAACTGTAATTCTTTATGCACCATCTTCGAACCTGTCCCCAAGGTCAACCTGTCTGAGGTGATTTTGATGATTTCCTGGTGTGCTTGTCCAAGTCATTGGAAAACCATTGCTGAACACATTGGTTTACATTCCAAATTCGGGAAAATCAATGATAAACCGTTGGATTTTGCAGTGTCGTATTTTCAGACAACCCAAAAAGGCAGCAACCCCGGACAAATTCAAACGGATGTGTTGGGTGGTTCTATCGGCATGACTGACTGTTAGAAGTGATCGATGGATAGATATAAGAGTGGACGGATAGACGGATAGACGGATGGGCGGATGGACGGACGCCAAAATAGAGAAATAGAGAGAGATAGAGAGACAATGAATTTCCTGGTTTTATAAATTCAATATCTATATATATAGAAACATATATAGAAACATATACACATATACAAATATACACTTATATACTTATGTATGTATATATATATATAATATATATATAATATATATATATAATACATACATTGTCCAAAAATACAGTATACATCAACCCATCAATCATCGCCAGGTACTCAGATAGCGCCTACACCATGTCCCAATGGAGCACGTCCCTGGAGCCCGGTGTGGACTGCCCCGACAAGGCGACCTACCTCTCCGCGGCCAACTGGATGGGACCGGACATGAGCCGACGGCCGGATCCCAGGCGATGGCGTGATGGTGGAGTAATCCCCATTTTGGGGATACAAAATGCCAAAAAAAACCGCAAAAATCGTGGTTTTTCATGATATTTCCATGGAACATGGTGGCTTTTATGGTATTTAGGAGATGTAAAAATGGTGGGTTTAGGAGATGTAACCATTAAACATAGGGGTTTAAGCCTCAAAGACGAGTAATTCACGATGAAGAATAGGGAGTCAACCATGAACTATTGGTCAACATTGGGATGCAATGGGATTATATAGCAATCATGGTGAACAATGGTGATTAAAACATCAAAAATAGGGACTTACCCAAGACGGCATTGGGATATACACCAACCATAGGAGAATGTGAATTTCATGGGAATATCATGGGAATATAGTTTTTTCCTGGGAATATATGAACAGTGGCTGCTAAACCTCCGCTGGTTGATGATATTATCACAATCCACTCCAAATCCCGTTCTCAACCAACCAGTATGAAGGAACGACACAGGGGACAGGAACATTGCTCAAATATCTTGAAAACTCAGCACATTCGAGAGGATGTAACAAACAGGAGACGATATGTAGTGACTTAGTGATGATAGGCGGGGATGCACCAAGCAAGTAGTATTTTGGTGCCCAATACATGGCGTTTGCAGCTGTTTATCCCAGTTCGTACTTCGCAAATAACATTGGTTCGCATTTCCCTCACCAAGGTAATCCAATTTGCTTTCAGAGTTTTATCAACCAGTCGTAGCCAGTCGCAATTTCTGAGATGAATATCCGGGTATCACCAGTCTTTTTTTCGGGTTGGCCGTTCTTTATTTTTTCTAAAGATGCAGTATACCCCGAAAGAATATACAACAGCAAAACCCTGCTAAAAACTGTCTTTTGGGGGGTTAATATGTACATATATGTTACATATATATATATATAATCTGAAAGGCGTATTGGTGCTTTTTTTGCTGCATCCACTCAACCACTCTGCCAGAGTGGCTGCGCCACTCTGTCACTTTCATAGTTGAACCGCGGGGAGGCGCCGGGAAAACGGAGCGGATGGCCTTAACAGCAGGATGGAAGGAGGCAGGGATTTGCAGCCACATGCTCAAAGCAAAGAAACTGGGAAGCAGAAAAGAACAACAACCATTCCTGAACGGAAAACATATAAACGCTTAATGGCAACCTCCTGAATAGATGGCTCGCCGTTTGAATATCTCCAGCCCGTTTTCCTACTGCTCTGGTCTTCCGACAATTGAAGAAATTGCTCATACTACCCCCGTCGACCCGCCTTTGCAGCGAAGTGTAACCTGCGATTCGCTTCACGATCTAAGAATCTAAGCAACAAGTGACATGACTGCCATGGCCAGTGCAAAAAATCCACTAATATGCTCTCAATCTAGAGAGTGGATGAGGACGGTACGAGAAGCGGGGGTTAGGGGTGGGTGGGGCGGGGGGGGGTAGGTACGGTCAGGTGGGGGTGAGTGACTGAGTGACTGATGCAGTCACTCTGCCAGAGTGGCTGATTGGCAGCTTCGATCACGGCCCATCACGAGGCTCATTGAATTTCCTCACCTTGGGCGTTCCAAATTGCCCACAATTTTGCTCCAGTTGCGATCACCCTCTCCCAAAAACAAGGTGAAGTACAGGGAAATCTGGCATTACAGACATTGCCATCGGAAACGATGGGGTCACTGGGGGAATCATTGGACATCCGACCAAGGAATCACTTCTTTTGGTCCTCCAAATTCCACAGCTCCATAAGCTCGGTTTAAGCTGGTTCAAAGCACAGCCATACAGAAATTCATCACTCTCCAGGGCATCAAGCTCGAAACTCCCAGAATTGCCAGGGAACAAAAATACACGAACAGGGCTATATTTGATGGTTGAATAATGTTTTTCCATACAGTCATAGATTCAAACATAGCCCATAGTCTAAATTTGACTGCATGAATAAAGCCTATACCTAGAAGAACCCTTGGGCACTCTTTTCTGCCCTCGGCGCCTAGGCAGCCGCATAGGCACTTTCACCCGGAAGTTTGCAAAACTGGGCAGATTTATATTGATGTAGGCATTTTTATCTCAAGATGTTTTTTGTGCTCCGACATCATTTTGTGCCTAGGCATTTTTACCCAGAAGTTAGGCGGAAAAACCCGAAATCTAGGCGGAAAAAAGTGGAATCTGGCAGAATTTTGTTCGAAACATTTTTCTGCACTGAACAACATGACAAGACCATACAAAATTTATCAGCCTCGGCATTTTTTTTTGGGCTCTGGGAATCGGCAGAAATAAACGCCTACAGGCAGGTTAGGCGCTCTTTTCTGCCCAGAGGAGTTTGTAGGTATTTGATGGTCGAAAAAAAATATCAATAAAACCACATGTATCCAACTATATTTGGATTCGGATTGAAAGCCTATGGTTTATTGGTCTTCCCTCCACTCCAGGGAGGCGCAGGAGTTCTGGCCCATCTGCGTTTTCGACTGGGTGGAGGACCACGAGATCTGGCGCCACATGGACGCAGCGCAGAGCCGCGGCTACGTGCGCAAGACGGTGGTGGTGAGATCCATTGCCACAGTGGGTACCTTGGAGGTTTTTGGGGGATGGGGCACCTGCGATGGCCATGAAAGATAGGGAAAATGAGGGGTTTAAAGCATTGGACTTTGGGGCACCTTTTTTTGGAGAACTATGAGGGGAATGGGCTGTGTCAAGTTCAACAGTTCCATATATATAGTAGTGTCATCTGCACAAACCTTGAAATGGAAAATCCATCAAAACCCATGTGTTGAAATTATAAACAAGAAGATTTCGATTCTGCCACATTTGTCTAGCAGAGTAACCTTGGCTCGTGAAAACAAGTGTTAAATCGGGGATGCAGTAGCAGACATCACCAACAAAATTTAGGATAGAACCACAACCAAGCAACCTCGGAATAGAGCTAATAATCCAAATAGACACGTTCGTGATAGAGCTAGCAAAGTCGGGATACAATGATATAATCAGAAAATGAAAGGACCGGATAACCCCACATGTCAACTTCTTCCAACAAGCGGGTTACACGGCATGTCAAGGCAGCCAGATCAAACTGTTACATCATATCCATGTATACAGCTGACTCTGTTCTAAATGACGACTTCTGCGGGTTGCATTTCATGAAGCTGAGGTTTCAATGAATGAAGCGATTGCATTTGCACCGGATGAACCATGGAAATGGCAATGGATGTTGCTGCATTGGAACACACGCAGAGAAACAGCCAACAACAACGTGAGCAGTCTGTCCGAAGCACCGTTCGTAGCATCATGTTTGCAACAAATCGAACAAAATATCTATATATACATCTGACCCTGTTCTACTTGACACTTCTGATGAGTTTTCAATGACTGTTACATCATATCCATATATACATCTGACCCTGTTCTACTTGACACCTCTGCTGAATTTTCAATGAAGCGAGTGCATGTGCACCTGCACGAGCCATGGAAATGGCAATGGATGTTGCTGCATTTGAACACACACACAGAGTAACAGCCAAAAACGTGAGCAGTCTGCCCGAAGCACCGTTTGTAGCATCATGTTTGCAACAAATCGAACAAAATATCCATATATACATCTGACCCTGTTCTTCTGACCCTGTTCTACTTGACACTTCTGCTGAGGTTTCAATGAAGCGAGTGCATGTGCACCTGATGAGCCATGGAAATGGCAATAGATGTTGCTGCATTTGAACACACGCAGAGAAACAGCCAAAAACGTGAGCAGTCTGTCCGAAGCACCGTTCGTAGCATCATGTTTGCAACAAATCGAACAAAATATCCATATATACATCTGACCCTGTTCTACTTGACACTTCTGTTGAGTTTTCAATGACTCTTACATCATATCCATATATACATCTGACCCTGTTCTTCTGACCCTGTTCTACTTGACACTTCTGCTGAGTTTTCTTTGACTGTTACATCATATCCATATATACATCTGACCCTGTTCTACTTGACACTTCTGCTCAGGTTTCAATGAAGCGAGTGCATGTGCACCTGCACGAGCCATGGAAATGGCAATGGTTGTTGCTGCATTTGAACACACACACACACAGAGTAACAGCCAAAAACGTGAGCAGTCTGTCCGAAGCACCGTTCGTAGCATCATGTTTGCAACAAATCGAACAAAATAGCCTGCATGAAAGCTTACCCCCGCCTCGATCGAAAAGCCGAAGACGTCAACAAAGCCAAGAAGCGAAAAGCACGTGAACAGCACATGAGGCGAGATAGCGACGTGACAACTTAAATCGAACCAGGTCAGCGTCATAAGTGTCAACAAGTGTCACACCTGCCACGCAAAGTGACGGTCGATTGTCACCAAGTGCCACGCCGGCCACGCAGAGTGAAGGTGGATGTCACCAAGTGCCACGCCTGCCACACAAAGTGCCGTAAATGCCACGCCTGCCACGCAAAGTGAAAGTGGATGAGCTAGCCCAGTGCCGTAAGTGCCACGCCTGCCACGCAAAGTGAAGGTTGATGTCACCAAGTGCCACGCCTGCCACGCAAAGAGCCGCGGCTTCCACGGCGTCAGCTGGGAACCCGGTGCGCCACCAGAGCCCGCCCAGCGCCGTAAGTGCCACGCCTGCCACGTGAAACGAAGGTGGATGTCACCAAGTGCCACGCTTGCCACGCAAAGAGGCGCGGCGTCCACGGCGTCAGCTGGGAACCCGGTGCGCCACCAGAGCCCGCCCAGTGCCGTAAGTGCCACGCCTGCCACGTGAAACGAAGGTGGATGTCACCAAGTGCCACGCCTGCCACGTGAAACGAAGGTGGATGTCACGAAGGACAAGTTGTGTGTGAGCAAGTTGTGCGTGGACAAGTTGTGTGTGAGGAAGTTGTGTGATGAAACGTGTGTGTGTGTGAGAGTGTGTGTGTATGAGTAATGTATGAGTAAGGCAAGTTGTGTGTGAGCAAGTTGTGTGATGACAAGTTGTGTGAGTTGAGTTGCATGTGAGCAAGTTGTGTGTGAGTTGAGTTGTGTGTGAGCAAGTTGTATGATGACAAGTTGTATGTGTGATGACATGTTGTATGTGATATGTGAGCAAGTTGTGTGTGAGTTGAGTTGTGTGTGAGCAAGTTGTGTGAGTTGAGTTGTATGTGAGCAAGTTGTGTGTGAGTTGAGTTGTGTGTGAGCAAGTTGTCATCATGACAAATTGTGTGATGACAAGTTGTATGTGTGATGACGGGAGGAGTAAGTGGTGTGTGAGGGAGGCGGTGGGAGGAGGAGGAGAAGGCGGCGGGATACAGAACCAAAAACAAGAACCCCACACAAAGATGTGGGGAAAAAGTGCGAAGACAAGTTAAGAGTTGCACAGTAGACAAGGGATGCATTTTTTACGCATGCATTTTTTTGGCACCAGCGAGTGAACTGTTGAATTTTGCAGGGTGAAACTGTTTGTTTCTTTTCTTTCACCCTATAACTTTTTATTCTTCTGAAACACGGACTGCACGACCCAAGGTTGTTGCCAGGTTTCACTGCCACAGGGTAGGTTTCCAGCATTCCTAGAATAGATTCAATTGAGCACCTACAGAAAACCCTTCAATTGTGTTGGCAAAAACATGCAGAAACCTGTTTTCCGGTAGATGTTCCGTTTCAAGCATTCACTGTCATCCACTATTATCCACTATCATCCACTATCATCCACTATTATCCATTATTATCCACTGTTATCCACCATTATCCACTATGTCACTATGTTCCGGTAGATGTTCTTTGTTCAACATGAGGCAACTACGATTACATCATGGACGTGAAGTTCCGTAAGGACGGTGAAATCAACGTGGAGACCCGCTTCGCTGGATATCCCGAGCTGCTTGGACCCTGGAGTCTCCCTTGGGACCGCAGGTGGGGAAGAAATCAATGTACCCAAGGGACTACAGGTGGCATGTTAAGCCATCCTTTTTTTGGGTATGTAACGGTATGTAGGTAAATAAAATGGTATATACAATTATATATACACAGTATATATATATATATAATTTCAAGAAATTTGACCAGTCTTGGGTAGGCGGTTAGTTGTTTCAAATATCACATGTTTTCCAGGAACGATCCCCCTATTGATATTCTCCTTGGGATGGATTGAAACTGCTGTGGTGCTGATTACTTGGATGTGCATCCCAGTTCATAAGAAATACACTACTGCTTAATGGTATATGCACCCAGTTCATAAGATATTTTACACTTCCAGTTTTACATCCCAGTTACGACGACTGGAGGAGTTAACACCCCCTTTAAAATGTGGGAGAACGAAGAGAACGAACCGCTCAGTAGTCCTGCGGAGCGTCGCAGCGATGGCCGCCGCGAAATTCTTTGATTAGCCACCTGCTCGACCTGTCACCCCCCAAGCAGTTATCTTTTACTTGAATAAAACCGATGTTAAATCGGACCATCAGTGTCAGCATCCAAACATAGATTTTCAAAGTATATTATCTATTATCCTCCAGGATTCCAGGATGACTATAAAAGGTGGGTTCACCATCGCAATGAAGATTCCGTAGACGCAGAACAGCAGTTTTTATCTCTCCTTGTTTGATTTCCCATCCCAAATCCTTTGCTGCATTCGCATCGCTATGAGGTTTTTTTGTTAAAGCTGGGGCCCTGGGGTGAGTTGGTCATTTTCAGGATTGAAGCATCCCATTTACAGGGTCTGTCCTCAGTGATCATGTTTTTTCTGGGTGGTAACTACAAGGTCCTGACCACCGACTTAGCGGAGTCCATGGCTTTTCCGGGGTCCAAATGACTTGACCATGAAAAATGGTGATGCTATTCCCATGTACTTGGCTTGATATATGGGGATGAGTCAAAACCTCTTACACATCTTACCATCTTACACATATTCTAAATATACACACCATATTTGGGGGATGAACCTCCATTTACACCAGAGTTTTGTCTCATCGCCAGATGGAAAAAAATGCACCAGTAAAATCAACATGTTTGTTGATGATTTCCCAGCAATAAACCTACAAGGGATTTCCCAGTTGGCCATGTTTGATTGCTGCTTAGTTCCATCCAATATCAGCAGATACCAGATATTGTATATCCCAATTATATTCCCAAATATCCAATGTTTTCCCATGATTTTTCACATTCAAATGCTTTGCCCCAGTGCCCTGCCACGTTCCCAGGACCCGCTTCCCTGGACAGGGCGAGGAAGTCTTTAGCACCCTGGTGCGTGACGGCGTGGCGGGCATCGTCCACACGCACAGCGTGGCCTGGAAAGCGGACATCGAAGTGGCAGGAGGGGGACCCATACAAAGGTGGCATCCTTTTTTTGGGGTATGTGATGGAATATATGTATAATTATATATATATGTATAATACTATATATATAATACTATATATATATATATTTATATATATAGATATAGTGACATAGAACATGTTTATTTAAAAAAAATGCCCTCTGGTAATGACTAACAGTTTGCTATTGAAGCCATGGCCCATTTCGTTCGTTGATTTACCTACTAAAAATATGGCGATTTTCCAAAGCTGTTTGTGTGTTTATCAGAGGGTATATTGGGGTATATGATGGAATATAGTGAGATCGACAATGGGATACGTATATCATCAATAAAATGTTTGGGTCAAGCATTCGACAAAATGGTGAATCACAAACACCCCAGGGAGGTTTTGACCACGAAAAAATGGTGATTTCAAGTATCAAAGATGGATTGAGACCAGCGGCATCCGAGAAAAGATGGGGTCAAGTCAAACATCATTCGGGGATTTGGCTGCCAGGAAATATCGTGGCTCAACCATTTGTTGAACCCATTTAAACAAATGGGATATTAAGACACAAAAATTGAGAGATGTACAGCATTTTGTTGCAAGTGGTATCCATCTCGACATCACTAAGTTGGGCGGGATTTGCTGGGTTTGAGACACCACCAAGATCTGCTAAAATATGGGAGTTGAACTTGTAGGAAACAAAGACTTGGGGGATTTAAACGAGCAAACATGGGGGGTTCAACCAACAACATGGAGCCTTAATCATGAAAGAATCTGATTTGAACCACAGAAGTATGGGAATTTACCATCAAACTATAGGCAAACCGAGAGGTGAAGGGTAGTTATGTAGCGTTTCAATCATTTTCAACACAGCCGCGGTTGTGTTTCTTTACCCAGCTGAAGATCAACCATAGGAGACCTGATCACCCCATGACCAGGGCAAAAGAACGCCTTGCACGTGACAGAGGTGCGTGAACACGAGTCGTCAGGTGCCTCTAGCGGCGTTACGAGGGGTGAGAGTTTTGCGGGAACGGGAGCGAAGCCAACGAAGCCAAAGCACAACTCAAACTTTGGGTAGCTGGAACAGGAATAGCATGTTGGTTACTGTACCCGATTGTATCCATGACTATCCCATTTCTATCCCAATGTTAGGATGATTCAACCACCAGGAATAGGGTACAAGCCCCAAGAAATTGGATGTCGACCTTTGTCGACCCCCCAAAAAAAGGTTTAGCTAGACAAAAGGCACCAAAAATATCCAAAAATATGTGGCTGGCAGAGCCTAAAATTTTGATCCATACCCAAATCCACGACCTTGACCTTGGCACTGCAGAATGCACCAAACCTTGACGGCAGCATGGGAATTCACTCAACAAAATGTGACCTATTTGATTTTCCGTTTTTAGACATATATAGTTTTTCTTTTCTTTTCTTCGTGTTTTTTTTTTTTTATGTTGTTTTTTTTCTGATTTTCCTGATTTACTTTTCTGTTCGGAGATATCAAGGTTTGCGCCTCCACGCTTATTTCATAGGAGTCTTGCGATTCCCCTCTCCCCATCCTCAAGCAGCTTCTGAGCGCAGGTCTTGGAGTGAACTGGAAGGCGGATGGACAGGAGCAACGTCTCCAGCTCATGATTTGGTGAGGGTTTATATTCCAAAGTGACCACCCCCCCAAAAAAATAACATCCTACAAAAAATGTGATGATTTACTTTTCTATTATTTTTGGGTTTCTAATAGTCAAATTGTCAACTGCCCCCCAGATGACTAGAGGTGAAACGGACAGCTAAATGAGGTGGGTGTCCTCCCCTATTGCCTTTTGGTCTTGTTCGTACAGTAGCTGCATGTAGCTGCCATTGAGACTTCCTCGGGATCTGCATGAGTGAAGACCCAAATCTCATTGTTTTGGCACCTTTTTTTCGGGTTTGTTGGATTCAACACTCAAGACATTCAAGATTCACCTACCCTCCACCCGTTGCATCTCAGGTTTCCCCACCAAGATCTTGCAGCACCACTATGTGGACCGGGAAGGCCTGGAATCCGTGAGGAAAAATCGAACATCTCCCCGATGATTTTCGCTACAAAGCTCCATTGAGCTCGAGGATTTCCCATGTTTATTACCGGTATATCATTCAACCCATGAAATATCTCATTAGGTATCTATTAAACAATGATTCACCGTTATAAAATGTTATAAACCACTCTGAAATCCCATGAAATCCCATGATTTTCCCATTCGGGTTTTCCCATGAAAAATCCTCCCTGACTCGAGTCCTGTGACAGTCCCAGGTGCCAATTCGACCTTTGTGGCGGACACGCGGGTGCCAAAAGCCTGGGTCGCCTGGCGCCTGTTTCACCGGTCATCGTAAATGGTACTGTAATGAATGGGTGAAGAGTATAGTAACTATAGTATTCAACCAACAATTTCATCGGGATATGACACACACACACACACACGCACGTATATAATATATAATTATATATATACATATATATAATACATATATATAACATGTATATGATATGTATATGATATGTATGTAATATGTATATGATATGTATATGATATGTATGTAATATGTATATGTATATATATACACACATAATGGGATACAATGGGATATGTAATGTTGCTTAAACCAGCGCAAACACATGATCCAAGTTATTGGTAATAGCGAAACACATGGCAAAAGAAGGTAGCCCAATTGGGAAACACCCTGAAATGGGGGTGAGGTGACCTATGCACACGAAAAACCATAAAACCATATTGGATCCAAGTAATTGCCTTCTGGGTTATACAAGCACTCCATAGGAAGGGTATCACGCCATCAGATTTTCCAGCCCGATAGTTGAATGGAATTTTGTGCGCTCTTCCAGGGGATCGTTCAATGGAAAACAGCACCATTTATAGATGATTTTCCCTTTAAAACTTCCATTTAGAGGGGATTTCCCAGCGAGCAGACATGTGAAGCTTCTGGCAACAAGACATGTCCGGGGAAAATCCAGGCATGGGTGAGGCATGGGAGATTTCCTCTGGTTGGGGGCTCTTACGGGGAATTGAGATGAATTGAGATGGACATCCATTGTACATAGATATATATATATTAATGATAGGATAGTATCCTATTTGTCTACCTAGTAGGTGATACCAGTAGGACCGTTTCCCGTTGAACCCGCCTATATTTACTGGGAAAGACCTTCCTGTAAACATTTTCCCTTACATCCATCCACTGACAAGGAATTCCAGTGTAGCCACGGGAGGTTTTCCAAATTGATCAGTGGCTCATATGGGGATCCATCAAATCAAAACCTAGGATTTTCATGGATTTTCCAGATGAAAGGAGGATCAAGATCCATTTGCAATCTTTTTTGCCAGCTACTTTGATGTGAATTCACAAGGGGCTTGCAAGATTTTTGCTTTAGAGCCACGTTGGAGATGACATACAATCATTTTAGCTATGTTGACCTGGGTTTGTCTGAAAAAGGGGCACCCCTAAATCCGAATCATCATTCTCAGTGTAAACACAGCGTATCCACCACTTTTGACCAACCTCAGTTGAACAGCCCTACCGGGCACCCCAGGCCATCGTGAATCGCAATAGCTCCGTGTCCAGTGGAGCATGGAAGACGCTCGACTGCGGGTAGGAACTGGGTTGAAGCAGCCATTCTGTTCAGATATTGGAGTGGTTTGGGCTGAAGTGTTCACAGGAAATCATGTTTTTTTTCACTAAATCGACGGGGTTCAACCATAAATTTTCCTCTCATCCAATTCTGGAGGATGTGGTTGTGCGTCAAAACTGGAAGCCGAAAATTGGATGGTTAAGACAACACAAATGACAAGAAACATGTGGTTGGCACTTAAAGTCTTAATTTTGTCTTGGCATTTTTGTCGTTTTTGATATGTTTCTTCCAGATATATAGCCACAGCATTGATGAGTGACGCTTTGAACGCATGGTGTTTGATACGATCCTCCAAGGAACCCTCGCGGCTATCGCATCGAGCTGCTGTCCTTCTCCACGGCCCAAGTGCATTCCCCAGAGCATCCCTTCGTCAAGGCCTGGAATCTGGCCATGACTGGCCATGGTGGGTGAAGTCCTTGCTCGGCCCAAACATGGGAATTTTATGGGAATTTTCCAGTATTTTGAAGAAACCGTCACAGCTATAACATAGGAGAACTTTCATATCCTGCATTGCTTGTTGATCTTGTTGCATATTTGTGACTGGTGATACTCCTGAAATCCGTGACTCTTAAATATCTCTGTTTGATGGTTGGCTGTACCGACTCCTATTGATTGGTTCCTACTCAAAGACCCGATGCTTTGGACATGCTTTTGTCAAGAATCCTGAACGAAAATTGGTTTCCTCAAAATTGTCAACTTTCATGTTCTTTTGGTTCCTCAAATTTTGGACATGCCTAATGATTAGGTTGCTATTATTGGTGATTTCGACATTTTGGTCGGGTCATTGTCGCCGGCTTTTCATCCAGAGAAAGAGGTTGCTCATTACCCTCTGGTAAACGTTTACATAACTATGGAAAATCACTATTTTTAATGGGTAGTTCCCATTACCAATTTATTCCCCAAATTCCAATTCTCCTTCGGTCCTCGAGTCCTCGGCGCAGGCCATGCCGTGGACGAAGTATCACCTGGCTGTAACCAAGTATCAGGACAGGGGGAACCGATGGGGGAAGCAAACTTGATGCATCAGCGTCAAAAAGTAGGATAGAGAGTGTTGATAGTGACTGTCACTTGGGTATGGGTCAATACCTATAGATACATTTTTAGTGGGATGAACATCCATTTACCAGCTATTTTGGGGTTCACTAGGTACCAGGGTTTTGACCCATCCCCACTTGATTGTACCAACTACTGTAATATCAACTTAATTTCATGATTTTCATGGGGATTGAGGACGGATCCAACATGGGAACTTCTACGTAATCAAGCAGGCTGCTTATGAGATCTTCGGCCAAGGAACACTTTGGATTCCGACACAAATTGTGGGCAGGGGCACATCTTATTGCTTCCGTTTTTCTGCCACTTTCGGACTTACATGATCTTATATCATTTTACAAGTGGACAACTGGAAAGCCTTCTTTCATCTCGACAAAAAAACATCTTGGCCACTGCATTCGATGGCTCAAGTTGCGATGTGGGATCCTTGGTCTCAGGACAACGAGTACCGGCCATCCTCACCCTATGTGAAACTCGGAGAAAGCCTTGGGATTTTGAGGATTTGAGGTCTGAATTTTTCTGGGATCCCAAGCTTAATCCTATCGCCTTGTAGGATGGGATCCGATCATTTTTCGATGTGTTAAAACGTGGGGCGATTTGTTTTTGGGATTGGCGTTTACGCCCGCTCCACAAATGCCGAAACGGGGGCGCTATATAAGTCCTCAACGACCAATAGCATTGACAGATGTTCCTTGACGCTGCCAACCTTAAATTTTTGCGAATATACTCGTTTACAGAGATAATGCCCCAATTGTATCCAATTGTTGTGAGCAAAATCTCAGGTTTTCTGGACTACTTGGTGCACAGCCATGCATATTCCTGACTATTGGAGAAGCCACATTTTGTAATGTTTGGTATAGAATATTTGTTTGTTCAGCCACATCCATATCTCATCCAAATGGCCTGGTTTCATCATGAGGCCATAAATTTGCTTGGAGATTCACTTATTGGACTTACATAGATCGCACCCTTTGCTGCTTAGACCTTACACAGCTTAGAGGAATCTGAAACTTGATCCAGAAAAGACTGCCTGAGGAATTTTGATGGTCTTCAGCCTTTGAGTGGCCCATATGCTCAAGATTTAGATGTCTTCTTGTCCAACAATGCGCCTGGTCGCAGCGGGCTGTGAGATTTGGAGCTTTCTTTCGTGACACAGTTTTTGGATGGTGCATTTAATTTATGTTTCGCAGTGGGAACGCCTCAACTTCCAAAATCCAAAGGAAGCGAAATATGCTGAACTGCTAAAAACTTTGTGAAAGTTACATAGCTGCTATCGCAGAATTGGTTGATGGGAAGGTTCACAGCTGGGATACCTGGCTCCACAGGATCGCAGCGGGGTATTCTGTGATATTCTGTGTCTATGTTGGGCGATGCATAGGTTTCTGTTAAAACCCACGTTTGGGCACACGGTGAAGGAGCATGGCAATGGACAAACTCCGCATTTTTTTGGTGGGCAAATCATCTACAAATAGATCCATGAACCTTTCCATGGTCAATAGGAAACTAATCTATATATAATTTTCAATCAATGACATGTATGTATTTCATTGTAAAATGTAACTATATAAATTGTATATATGATATATGTATATATGTAGAATGTACAATATCTATACACATAATATCATATAGTATAAGTATAATGTACGTATGATGCGCAATGCACATATGTAATACACAATACACACATGCACATCATACAATACATTGCAATACACAATGATAGTCGTATGTATGATACGAACCCGGTATGTATATATATATAGTACCCCCCGAAAAGATCGAACAGGTTTTTACCCAATTCTGTTTCTTTGGGGATTACTATGGTCTATATAGAAAGGAACTCCCAGATAGAAACGTATTTCCAAGATGGTATAGATGACGTTTTCTCCATAATTTCCAGACTTCCAACTTTTCAACAACTATATTGGTTTTTTCAGTGATATAAATATGTGTTGCTATATAGTATATATACACATGCAATTCAGCCACACACACACATATATATATTATACATATATATATATGCATATTCTGGCTACGTATGTGTTGATAATATATAATATGTGAATATATATATATGTATACATAAACTATGGCACACTATATTTCTGAATGTATTCCAAGGATAAAGATCTGTGTTGACCTGACATGTCCCCCAGGAGTCTTTGATGGATGAGGATCTGGTCGCTTGGATCGGCCTCAACAAGGATCCGACGACGGCTTCGCCGGCTGAGAACCACAGATTTGGGTTCCATCAATGGGGTACCCCCAAATCATCCATAAAAAACAGGGGATTTTCCACTATAAACCAGCCAGCTATTGGGGTAGCCTCATTGAAACCACACATTTATGGAGTTCAGCGGCAAAAATGGCTGGTGTATGTCATGTTAACCATGGAACATGTTTGATAGGGATATGTCACCGTGAAACATTGGGATTCAGCGGTAGGTTATGATATCTTTGGATTCAACCATCAATTTGCAACCCGAAGAATGGGATGGAATTGATACATGATATCGTTAGTTGATGGTTGATTTGTGTTTTTTTTTGTAAAATAGCTGGTGACATTACCTGGTTTATCAGGGATATATAATTATAAAACCTGTCTTATAAAGATACCGATCAACCAAGCTGTATTTCATGGCATGGGTCCCAAGGAATTGACCCAAAACTCTGAATTGGTGGAGATTTGCAGATTTGCAAACTAACTTCACAGAATCACCATAGTCGCCCTCCCAAACAGCCATTTTCTGAAGTCTTGAATGCATTTTCATGATCTATTACCCTCTGGTAATGACTAACATAGCTATTGAAAATGGCCATTTATAGTGAGTTTTCCCATTAAAAATGGTGATTTTCCATAGTTGTGTTAAATTACCAGAGGGTATACCTCGTTCGAAAGTAACATAGGGATTTGCGCTCATCCAATCTCGTAGCGACATACAGATCATCACTGGGCAGCCATCCAGGAACACATCGTGCGACAGGAAGACATTCCATTGGTCTCCAACTTTGGTGTGTCCTTCTCCCTGCAGCCCTGGAACTTCTTCGATCTGAACACCGGCTCCAATCCTCCCTCGGAGCTTTGACCGAAGTGAAACCGGGATTTCGGATCGAGGTTTCGACCGATGTTGAACACAACCAGATGGACGCAGATGGAAGTCTTGGAAGGACCATGTTTATTCAGTTTTGATGTAGGAAATTGTTGAGAAAGAGACCTCATGTGGCAACTCCAGTATTTAATCCTCAGGAAGTCACAGTGAGTGTTTCCTGAACGACATTTTGGAGGTTGCCAAAGCCCCAGCTTTCTGAACCGGCGATGGATCCCCGCGGCACGTGATTCTTCGATAGTTCAAACCGTCTTCCACGAATCGTGGTGCGGTGGGGTTAGGAACATTTGGCATCCGTGGTGTGCTCTACCGCCCAAGTGTCACAGCCATCAGAAAGGCTTTGCAAAATGAGATGATGGACCAAGTCTCACTTTTTTAAAGCTTCAACATTTGAAAACTCGAGCTCCCCCAGTCACTTCCAAGATCTGTAATTAGGATAGTCAACTTTTGGGGAAATGCATCCTCCTTGCCGATTTGCCTGAGATTCTTGATGTTTGATTTTGGCACAGGATGGTTTTTTGGTCCCCTTAACCGCAAAATCCTTTGGTAAATTGCATTTGCAATTTTGAGCCACTTTTTTGAAACACAACAACTATATGTGCCATTGTCAAAACTTGGGGTAACTTATCATCATTGGGTGATGGTCATCAATCCATGAATGGAACGTCATGTACCATCATATACCCATTATAAGGCTTTCCTAATTTTGCGGTGTCCCGTATCCCTCATTTTTTGAACACGAAAACATACAACAAACTATATATATAATATATATATATATAATATTACATTTTATATAACCTTATATCTATTATATATTATATTATATACATGATATTATATATTGTATACATTATATATTATATATTGTATGCATTATATATTATATATATTATATATATAATATATAATATATATAATATATTATATATAATATAATATACTATATATTGTATGCATTATATATTATATATATATATATTATATATTATATGTATATTATATTATATATATATATTATATACTATATACTATATATTATAGATATTTTATATACTATATATGTATTATATATATATTATTATATATCTACAGTATAATATACATAATATAGATAATATATATATATATATATTTGACACTATGATACTATATATTTTTTTCACCATATCATACACCTCTCAACATGAAAAGACCAGGGCACATGTAACTTGGACGATCTTTTCCACCTGACGGGGAGAGCAGCGCGCGTCGGGGTCTTCAAAAAAGAGGGCGGATGAGCTGAGGAGCTGCTGGAAGGATCGTCGTGAACTTTGAGAATTACCCTCTGGGAAGTTAAAGTACGCGAACTGGAAAATCATAATGTTTAATGGGTAAATCATTATGTCATTGTGTTTATTATCATCTCTAAATAATGTTTAATAGGTAAATCATGATGTTTATCATCTCTAAATGGGCCGTGGCTTCCATAGCAAACTGTTAGTCATAGCAAGAGGGTATCCCAACTGATGAGGACATTGTTCAGGAGGCAATGCCAAATGTGCCATGGCCAAAACAAAAAAGGGTCATTTGCCCATGAGGATGGTCATCAATCCATTCACAGAGATTTACATACACATTATAACATTATACTTTATGCTTTATACATCATTATATAAACCCATTATGTTTGTATTCCCTTTTTTTTTGGGGATGGTCATAACCTTTTTCCATGTTTGGACCATGGCATACTTGGATTGACCAAGGTCTGGGAAAACAACATATGACAGGTCCCCAGGTCCCCAGGTCCCGAGATGTGTCATAGCTCCTGCACCAACCATGTGGTTCTGGACAAGGTGATTTTCATTGGTTAAATATGGTTAAATCATGTTACACCCCTATGTGACTATGTGGCTTTGTCTGAAAATGGAGTACCCCAGTTTTTTTTTCCTGATGCCAAAAATGCATCATGAAAAAAGCCTGTTCAAACGACCATATATCCCCCATTTTGGACATTTATATCCATCATCGAAAACAACTCCCATAAGTTGGATGGTCCCAGATTCTTGCGAGTTTTCAACTCCCATCTTTGCCCGCAAACCCTGCAGGCTATGTTTCGGGGCGTTGGGCTGCTAGCCTGGTGGATAAGGGCGAAGGGCTCCAATTTTCCAGGTGCCTTGGTGCCGACACCAGAAAAAACCCATCAGCCCGGTTTTACTTGGAAAACCATAGGGCAAAGGTGTGGACATACACGGAATTCCATTATTTTTCGCAACAAGAACAGTGAAGAAGCTAACAAACGGTGGATTTTGCTTAAGATCTATCTAATGGTTTACTAGAGGGCAAGTGTGGAGATATCACCATTAGAACCTACAAGTGGTGGGTGGTTTCATTCATATATGTCATCGGTGCATCCTACTTGTGATGATATGCTTTTTGACTCATATTTGCCAGGAGGGTTCAATGATAGTAAAACCCAGCAGCCAATCGCGTTTGCAAACCATGAATGCTGGGGAGAACTAGCTATTGACTGCACTTAGCTTGCCACTGGTCAAATATAGCGATGGACAATTTCCCGTTGATTTTCCCAGCGACAAAGCATCTAGTTCGCTAGTTTCACACCATGTTTGATCACCAGAGGGCCTATTGAGTTACAGGCACTGGCTGGTAGATAGAACATGGGGATGGCAACCGCAATTGGATGTTGGTTTCGATTAACAATACTTGGGTAGTCAGCAATAAATATCTCAATCCACAAACGACAGACTAGTTTTTCAGTGACCCGACATATTTAGAAAACTGACAAGCTGGGTGCATCTCCGATTTACAGTTGTATATATAGTCTATTGTAGTTTGAACTTTGTTCACATCCAGACGTGCTTTTTGCTGATGTATGATATCCCTGTTCATGTTGCTCAGACATGCTTAACCACCCACCAAGCAGGTACAAGGGTTTGGTACAATGGTTTCATGGCGAAGTTTTCACCCAATTTCTTCAACGACAGCGATTCTCTTGATAGTTTCCAGACTTTTCTGAGTTCCGAGACTTTTTCCAACGCCTCAAGACCCCGAGCCGCAGATTGGCCGGGCACACCCAGTAGTACAGCATCGTCCAGTTCCGAGCACTGTGGATTTCATGGAATCTTCGCCATGATGACCTCGTTAAACCCCAAAATGCCCAGAAAGGATGATCAAGATTGAGAAAAGCCACCATGAATGCATGAATGTAGCATCATTTTCCTTTTCCAAAACTTCCAAAAACATGGGGTTTTCCGTGTTTTTCTTGATTTTCGAGTTGTTTTTCCTACATTGACTTGGTTTCCATCATTTCTTTTTTGCATGTTTACATATGTTTACGGTGAACTCAGTCGCCTGGACCAGGCACTTGGTGGATCGGCGAGTGATTCGCGTGGTGGGTGGTCACGGTGGACCTGGGAATCGAGGCTACAAGAAGCACACCAAGTCGCTGGGACAGCGAATGATGCGGTGATAAAATCGTCATCCCGGTGATCCCCCAAGATGCAACGCTGAAGAATTTATCAATTAGGATTTTACTGAGAGATTTTTTTTTTCGATCTTTTTGGGGATTCTTGGGATCATTGAAGTCAACAGTGGAGATGGCGATTTGATCAATGCTTTTTCCATGGGGAGATATGGGTGTTTCCTCAAATGGGGAATCCCCACAACCATGGGTTTCAATATGTATAATATATATATATATATAGACATAATATAATATAACATAATATAATATAATATAATATAATATAACACATATAATATAATAAAACATAATATAATATAACATAATTTAAATATAAATATCAATATCAATATGATATAAATAAAATTAAATATAATATAATGTTATAATATAAATAGAAATATGAATATCAGTATAATATAATTATAAATATAATATAATATAATATGATATGATATAATCGAATATAATATGATATAATATAATATAATATAATGTAATGTAATATAAGAATTATAATTCAAATAATAATTAGAAATTATATTATAATACAGTATAATATAATATGATATACTATACTATACTATAATATAATATAATATGATATAATATATAATATTTAATATGATATAACATAATATAATATGATATAATATATAATATACAATATGATATAATATATAATATATAATATATAATATACAATATATAATATGTAATAAATAATATTTTATATATAATATTTAATATATAATATAAAAAATATAATATAAAAAATATAATATATACTATATAATATATAATATATAATATATAATAATATATAATATATAATAATATATAATATACAGTATATAATATATAATATATTACATATACTATATAATATATAATATATAATATATAATATATAATAATAAATAATATACAGTATATAATATATAATATATAATATATAATATATAATAATAAATAATATACAGTATATAATATATAATATATAATATATAATATAAAATATATACTATATAATATATAATATATAATATATAATAATATATAATATATAATAATATATAATATACAGTATATAATATATAATATATTATATATAATATATAATATATAATATACAATATATAATATATAATATATAATATACAATATATAATATATAATATATAATATATAATATATAATATATAATATATAATATATAATATATAATATATATACATATATATATATATATATTACATTTAAGGATTCCAAATGGCATGGGATGGATGAGAATAACCACGAAATACTGTGTTTTGACATGTTTTGACCATGGCACACATCGTTTTTGACCCGGGAGTTGGAGATGGTTGGATTACGCCCATGAAACCTGTCCGTTTGGTGTGGAAGGCCGCAGTTTTCAAGGCCTCAGTTTTCAATGGTGTTTTCAAGGCATTCCGGAGTTTTTTCTGACCCAGGGTTGTTGACTTGAAACAAGTTCCTTTCAAGAATGATCCAACACATCTTGATCATATCAGGTGATATGCTCAAAAATCGGGATGCTGAG